GCCTTGAGTTTAAAAGTTGTTCTACGATTCCAGATTTTTTGCAAGATTCTGAGTAATGTCCTTTTCCTTTTTCCATGCATCAGACACAGGACATCTTGGAGCCAATTCTTGATTATTGTTAAATGGATTTTCCCAAGTTTAATTCATATTATATGTTATATGATGACACCTTGAACCAAAAATTTAAAATTCACAAAATAATTGTTTATTTTATTGTCATTATGTCGAATTCCTCAAAGCGTAGAAATTCTATTTCATTACATTTACTTTCATCATGTGATGAAAAGGAGACATTCGTCGCCTAACCTTGACTTAAATACGTGAGTTTGAAACTCAAGCCTCGAGTCAACTCGAAATTTATTATAAAATCACGATTTTGCAGACAATTGAAAATAATTGAAGCAATAATGAACTGTATACTAATAACATGCTTGAATTTTAGAACATTTAAATCAACATAAAAATAATTTTATGACGGACTAAAAATTTCAAATGAGAACAATTCTGTGTTTTAATATTTGTTTCTAATAAAATTTTTTTTTTAAAATTTATAGTAACGCGAATTTGATTTTATTATTATTATTATTCAAATTATTCGTTTTATTGGTTTTGTTCGTTTTGTTGATTCTTTTTATTCTAATTATTCGTTTTTTTATTCACTTATTCAAATCACCCGGACCATTCTTTTTATTTGTTTATTCGAATCATTCGTTTATTCATTTATTCAAATCATTCGAATCATTCTTTTCTCGCTTTATTTTTTAAGTTGGGTAGACTCGAGTTAAAGCTTGAATTTTCAAGCTCGAGCTGAGTTCAAGGAAATAGTCCCTTAAATTGCTTTTTAGGTTATTATAATCACTGACAAAAAATTTAGTTTATATATGAGTTTAACCCAGATGCGGTAGTAACCTATATATGAAGTTTGCGAGGTCCTCCAGAAAGAGTACGTGAAAATTATTTGTTACACGCAAAAGAAAATAATATAAAGAGTTATGTAAATGAATAATTATAAATAAACAACTAGTTGTAACCCTTGTTTCACACCTAAGTTCAACACATGTGCTGCACAATGATAATGTGAAAAATTCATTAATTAGAGTTCAACATTAAGGGCATTTGCAATTTCTCTTCCACATACAACCATTAAAGATCCATTGTCAGTAGTTAATGCAATGATTTTATTAGAGATGTTGAATTCATCTAAAACATGTACAATTTCTTGTGCAATGTTTTTTCCAGTATGTCTATTAGTAAAGAAATGATGTCAAGGAGAAAGCTACAGAGATGCCAGTTTGAATTTATATAATGTATAGTAATTCCTAAATAAGCTTCCTGGTTCATAGAAGTCCACATGTCAGCTGTCAATGAACACTGCCCCTCAATTTGATCAAGATCATTATAATTTTGGTCCTTCTGGTATTGAATGCATTGGTTATAAGGTCTTTTATTTGAGGCCTTTCAGGAACAATATAACGAGGACAGAAGTAATTGATGAATTTGCTGAAATAAGTGTTGTTAACAACAGTAAATGGCTGGAGGTCACAAATTATTCATTGAGCAAGATATTTAGTATGTTCATTTTGTTCCTGCTGATTAAAAGGATCCATTCTGGTTATGGTACTCTGTTTCTTGGGAGGTGCATATAATTGATGTAGCTTGAGGTGTTTACGAAGGGTTGTCACACTTGTTGTTAATTCATACCTTGTTGAACATGTTTTACAAACATTATGTTCAGGTGCAAAGGATGGCCGTTTGTAAAAATATTTCCACACAGTACTTTCTTTTGATGAGGTAGAAGCATCTGATGTTTCCGACTGCACATCAGTAAAGACATGACCAATTGATTCGTCAGGGTTGATGTAAACATTCTCTCGGTGTAAGTTGCCTATTTCTTGATCATCAAATATTTCTTGTATTTGTTCATCCATTTTTTTTTTTAAAAAGGTATAAATTTATATTAGTTTATTGATTTTATTATATTAATATTAATTATAAATATTAAAAAAAAGGTGAGAAAACTTCTGATTGGTTTAGATACCTGCCTTTTTATAATAGTTGGCAATTACTTTATTTTTGCGACACATTGCTAAATTCAATTACTTTATCTTCGCAGCACATTGCTAAATTCAATTATTTTATTTTCGCGACACATTGCTAAATTCAATTATTTTACTTTCATTACAAAATTGATGTCAAAAAATTTTGAGGTAACGTGACATGATTAAAGATATCGATCAAAATATATTATTAATTCATCTATTTCATCTATCACATTGTCTGGAATCCTTCTATGTGACTTATATTTTTTTACAATATATTCAGCCTGTAGTACTGTTAATCCTTTTCCGTAACAATCCATAAATCTTGAGGCTCTCACCACATACTTTCTAATTTTGTTTCAGTGATATAGAATCAAAAGCATTGCATTCTCTTGAAGACTTTTCCGTATGTAAATACAATGTTGTCTAACATATCATTTAGAAGCCCCCAAATACATTTCAATGTAGTTAAGCTCACAGTGAAATTTTGGATAGAAGATGACTTTATGTCCTCTTTCTTCAAGTAAGGGTTTTTGGTTTTTAAGATCATCTTGGGTTGCTAAGATATCTGAAGCACAACAAATCAAAGGTCCTTCAAGAGAAACTTTAAACAAAAAAATTTGTATGGGATTATTTTATATTCAAAAATCCAATGTAATTATTATTATCAATATTTACTGACTTAAAAAAAAAAAACGTGTGAAATTTTTTGTTTTTTTTTTAATTACATGTTTCAAATTTGGAAAATTTTATATATAACATATAAAAATTACGTGATTTTCAAAAGCTTATAACTCCTGAACCAACAATTATGTTTTAATTGTCTCGATGATAGATTGTAGAACTAGTCAAAAGCTATCAAATATTGTCTCAATAATTTTTTGATAAGCACACAATATTTTCTTTTTAGGTTTTAAAGTTGGTCAATTTTTATTTGATGGGTTATTGTGGCATGCACTATACAAAAATTGAATATAGAATTGTCCCAAAAATTTTGTGATATATTTAAATAAAACATGACTTATCTTTATTATTTTTTTATATTTGCCAAGAACTACAATTTTAACTATATGTAAAAAAATTAAAAATTTAGTATTAAAAATAAAGACTTGTATTATTAACAAAGTTCAAATTCTTATTTAGTGTATAATTAAGTTAGTGTTAAACTTGCAGAAAGACTTTTAAAATTGAGAAAGCTTATTTTAAACCATAAACGCACATAGATATCTGTGTTAAATATTTATCTTAAAGCCACAAGTGCTTAATGTTAACTTATTAATATCTATACTACACATCTATGATCTATGAAATGAGATCAAACTAATTCTTTGTTTTATTTTGTAAATGTGTTTTAGTAATAATGGAAAAAAAAAAGAGAAAGGCTATATATAAAGAATTTGTAAAGAATTGCTTTTCAAAAAACAAACAAATGCTTTAATTGTGGTAATTGTGGTAAAAATTTAAATTTATCTTTTATTTCTTAAAAATAATATCTTATTTATTACAAAATGAATACAAATGTTTCTAAACATAATTAGTAAGTAATTTGTTCAACAATAATGTTTAGAGTTATTTCTTTATTTGTACATTGATGTGATAATAAAACAAAGGCAAACAAATAAACATATTTCGCACTTTTTATTTATTTAAGATTCCTCATATGTAATTCTTTCTTTAAAAGAGGAGCAAACAGTGGATACATACTTTGTGACATACAAGGTTCTTTGTTCTAAAATCCACATTACCATGTTATATATTACAATGAAAGGAGATATGTCAGCTGGTGATGCGTTTCCATTGAGTATATGTGAGAAATCTTGTGCAAGAAAGAGAAGAGAGCAAAATCTATGATTTTTTATTCCCGCCTTGATATTTACACTAGTAATTAATGATGTATGACCATTTTGACGATCTGACGAAAGTAATAGAATTTATATATAAAAGGTACCCTTAATTACATAGAACCAAATATTTTGAGTAAAATTATTTTGAATTGAATCTACCATGATTTAAAGAGTTCTCTTTCGTGACTGAACATTGATTTTTTTTTGATTAAAACTTACTAAATTAATAAGTAATCATGACCAAAAAGGAATGCTTTAATGTAATAATATAAAAGAAGGTTTAGAAATTTAGAGATCCACCAATTTTGTTGCTAAGAATGCTCTGAAAATTTGATTCAAAAAAAAATTAGATGAAAGTACTGCTGACTGAGAAGGAAATAAAAAAATTATCTTTAGAGTGACCTTAAAAATAAAAAAAATTTTGATTGGCCTTTTAGGGCAAGAATTATTAATCAAAAAGGCAGTGGGAGATGAGACAGAATTACTATATGGTGTCCTCAATGCAAAATTGCAAGGGGTAAACAAAATGAACACTTACTTGAAAAGATGATAATACTCCAAGTTGTATTTGACCAAAAAGCACAGAAGGGAGTGAAATAGTTTGCCATATGTGTGTCACTGATTAAGTTTGGGAGAGTGTATCTTTAATTGGTGATAACAATTATTTTTGTATTTGTGTGGATCAGAATGAATAGGCTATCAATGAATTGATTTTGGTATTAGTGGATAATTTTGTTTAAAGAAGATAAAAGTGTTAAATAAAATATTTACTATTTTATTTATTTAGTCAAAATTAATTAACTTATTTGCAAGTTTTTCCTTAGTTGAAAATGATTAACTTGCGACAAAGTTACTTTTACAGTAGGTCGGAATTGAGTTCTTTATATACATATTCATTTAGATATTAGCCTGCATTGTGCTTGGGCAATTCCACACAACCTGGGAGCATCGTCATTAATCTCTACTAAATAAAGTGCCACAAATTAATTAAATATACAAGATGAATATTGTTGGCTTGCATTCTCTTGACTGTTCCTGCCTCTGCTATTAATCTTTTCTCATTTTCCTGATGTGCATAATATGCTTGTTGATGTTTTTTAAGTGTCTTGACTGTAATTCAAATATCATATGCATCTTTAACAAATTTATTAATTCTATATTGTGCTTCAGTTATCAATTGTGACAATACACCAGTAGGAGTAACCTGCAAAATATAATATGACAAATGCAATAAGTGTTATTATGACTAGGATTATCATAAGAAATTGAAATTGTATATAAGCCTGATAACTTTCAAATAATCTACTCTTCAAAGATTCCAAAAGAGGTTCAAAATTTAATTCAATAATTTTTTTTCATTTTTTTTTTTCAATGCTGAATGATTATAATTGATGGAGGTAATGTAGTTAGTTAAAAAAAAAAAAGAATTTCTTTGATATTAAACAGTTATAAATAATAATACCATCAAAATTTTCTTCAGCCAAACAAAAATGATCACATCTGAGATACCATTAACAAGATGATCATTGTACATTATATCCATCTACCTCTGTAAATTTTTGACAATACTTGCTTGTGATCTTTTACAACTTCTGGTTTTTCTTCTCCTATCAGTTTCTCCTAAAAGTTGTGAGTATACTGTCATATTTAAAGATGGCTCTTCA